ACGAGCTGACGCGCTCGGGGGACTTTGCTTATCTATTCTTCTCATTCTTCTCTTTCTTCTTTCTTCATCTTCTTCATATTCTTTCCTCGTCCAGTGCTGTCGTTTGACTTTTATGTCTTGCACATTGCTGACTGTTACAGGAGATCTGTTTCTCTACTGTGACATACACGTAGTGAACCGGCGGAGGATTTTTACTCTGTTTGAGTGACTACGATCTCAGCTACGACTACAGACATTATTTCTTATTTCTTATTTCCTATTTCTTGTTGTTGTTGTTTTTTAGCTTTCCTGTAGTCTTTCCCTTCTCTCTTTTCTTCCTTCTTTGCTTACCTCGTCCTTTCTGAAATTCGTTTTTCCATCCTTATCGTTTTTCCATCCTTATCGTTTTTCCATCCTTATCTTTGCCTCTTCAGTGTGAGAATAGACCTTGCTGGTCGTTTTCTTGGTGCTACAGACGGAGGGACGCGGTAGTCCCTGGTTTCGATTATGGCGTCTCGTAATACCTGCCATTTCTGTCATCTTCCAGGGCACTTCAAACGTGAATGCCCTTTCAAGTTCCCGCCAAACGGAGCCGAGATGGCTGCGCGCATTCGTGAAGGTGGTTCGGGGGGCTCGAATGGAGAAGATCGCCATGGGATCCTGCCGGCTCCAAGCTCGTCGAACGCAATTGTGCCATATCAAGTGCCGCAGAATCGAGGATATGGTGGCAATGGTGGTAATCAGTATCGCGGAGGGGGTTATAATCAAGGTGGGGGTTACAATCAAGGTGGGAGTTATAATCAAGGAGGGGGCTACAACCAAGGTGGAAATTATAATAGACAGTGGGGAGGAGGTTATAGAGAGAGGGATCGTGATGATAAGTTAGAGAGGATGTACAGTCTGTTGTCGGAGCAGGTGGAAGAACGGGAACAACGCAAAAAGGAGTTGGCCAAGCTTGACTTGCTGGAACTAGAAAAGAAGAGGCTGCAGGAGGAAGAGGAAAAAAGGCAGCAGGTGAACAAAGAACGTGAGTTGCAGGAGGCTAGATTGGGAAAGATAGTACGTACCAGTGTAAAGGCAGTTTGCGAATCAGCTCTCGGACGTAAAGTAGATGTTCCTGAGGACGACGACTGTGAGGTTGCAAAGTTGCGAAGGGAGCTGGAGGAGTTACGGGCCAGATCTTCTGAGGCATAGAGTGTACTTCGAGGGAAAACGATGGTTGTTTAAAAGCTCTGCGAAAGGAAAGGGAAGCTCTGCTCAAAGCCAATTATCAGGAATCGGGGGAGGAGCGATTACGCAAGGAGATTGTTGATTTGAAAAGCGGCAACGAGCAAGGGGCGAGTGCTGATGGGAAGCGTGATGAAATCATGGCGTTACAATTGCAAATCAAGGAACTCAGTTCTTTTCGCACCGCTCTGGAGGAGAAAAACGCTGAGGTATCTGCTCTTAAGTTCGAAAATAATCATCTGAAGAAAGATGTATCGGAGCTCTGGGATGAATTCCTCAGTCTTCGAGGGAAGAGGTGTTCGGTTGCGGTCACGGAGAATAGTCCTCCAGCGGAGCCGGTTGCGGTTAAGCCTCGCGCGGAGCCTTCGACTACAGCGATGTACACACCCAAGGACCTGGCCGCGTTGCAGAAAGCATACAAGGATGCTTTGATGGGCAAGGAGATGGAGCTCAAGGAGGCGCAAATGCTCCAGGAGCGGATGGCGAATATGGGAGCCTCTAAGATTCGTCTATCTGCAAGGCGGCAGTCTAACCGGAAAACTACGCCGCGTAATCTTCGGACAAGTTTTCAAGATGTCGAAGAAATTGCTGATGATGACGATGCCGAGAAGAATCGGGGGGAAGAACGCCGAAATGAAAAGAGCGCTGTGGATGTTACCCATGATTTGGAAGTGGCCAAGATGGCCGCATTCAGGGATTTGAGATTGAAGGAGCTCAGGCAATTGAAGAAACAGGATATGGAGGCGGCCTGTGCGAAGGAGGGAATCAGCTACATTAAACTGGAGCAGGCCAAGGCGGATGTTGTTGAGATCAAGGCTGACCGCGATTTTGATGCATGGCTCAAGGAAAAGGATCTTGCCGAGGAGGAAGATCGCGACCTGCATTATGCCACTTCTACGGAAGAGGTCGACGATGCTTGAGGAGACTCCCTGGGCGCGTCTCATTTGCAGGATCTGGCTCTCTTTTGTCGGGATCTCTACGAGGATCTGGCAAGTGTTCACTTTCATTTTGTTTATCGTTTGATTGTTGTCTTGCTAATTCTTAATGGTAGTTTAGACTGGTGTAATAAATTCCGGGATTTTATTCTTGCCTTGATTAGTAGTAATTATGACCTGTTTAACAGTCCAGGGCCAGTTGTATATGCGTTAGTTTCTCCCTGGCATCGGCATGTTTATATTGGTTGTTCCAAGAGATCTTTATTAGTTAGATGGAAGGAGCATATTGCTTCTGCTGTCTGTCGCAGGAAGTTTTCATTGTGCTTGTCCGCTCATTTGGTTGTTAGGATTAGGTTTGATGATAGTCTCGTTAAGAATAAAATTAGGCTGTTATGTAAAAATATTATCTCTAGTTTAGATTTTCCAGCACCGTACCTTGACAGTGTATGCCACCGTTTTAGGCTGGTTTTTACGAAGAATCGTTCTATTGCAGATCTGATCCATAATTCTCGATCATTTTCTGTCAAGACTGATATCATTTGCTCCTGCGCACGCTCTTCCTCTGTCTACCCTAGGCACAATGGGCATGTCAAGTTTCGTTTCAGTGAGGTGGATTTTCTCCCGAAATTTTTAGACAATTCCAAAGATATTGTCGCCCCTCGCTATTCGTCTAATCGAGGTTTACTACAAAAGCAGATCGTCTCGTCTCTTTCGTCTTTCTTTGGTCAGGATATTGACGCTTCTCTTTGCCGATTTTCGGATTGCTTTGCAGAAGGTAATGGTAAGGGTAGGTATGTGGATGAAACGTTTGTCGAGCAATATGCACACAAATTTGATGGGCTCGTTCTCTGTCCGTGGATCATAATATGGGGGACACTTTTGCGTGTTGCCCTGTTGTATATGCGAATGGTATGCGTAAATTGTTTGTTGATAACCCAGGGCTACGGATTGTTAGTAGAACTGAGGAAGCAGTATTGGAGTCTTGCAAGGAAGGTTACCGTAAAGGGAAGTTCTCTAGATTAGCCCCATGGGTTGCAAAAGGCAAATTAGGTAGATCATATGTGATTCCTAAACATAAGGATACAGATAAATGGAGGCCTATCTGCCGCTCGTGGTCGGAGCCATCTCGACAGGCTTCTAGGATCGTTTCATCGTGCATCAATGAGTTTCTGAAAAGGCTGCCACATTTTTCTCATTTTAATTTGAGAAGTACATCTATGTTACCCAGTTTTCTGGAATCAGTTAATAAAGGCATTAAAGAAGGGGAGGAGTTGTTGGTCGGCAGTTTCGATGTCAAGGAGATGTTCTGCCAACTCCCCCACCCTGCCATTTTGACAGCATTAGATTGGGCCGTAAGCGTTTTTGAGGAAAAAGGGTTTTACAAGTGCCTGATTAATGGCAGAAAGAAGCTGGTCAGATTGAGTAGATTTGCTGTTAGTGTGGTTGGATATAAGTCTGTTAGTTTTTCTATGCTTCTTAGATATGTGAGATTTAACCTGGAGAATACATTTACTATGGCTATGGGCACAGTACTTGGACAACAAATGGGAATCCCAATGGGGAAGCCGTCAAGTCCGGCTCTTGCGTGTTTGCTGTGTGTACATAACGAGTACACTTTCTTGTCGGGATTGGGTAACGACGCTCGCCTTGTTAAGGGTTGTCGTCTGATAGATGATGTGTCTGTGTTTATCAAGTATAAGGCTAATGATACTAAGTCAAGGATAAAGGCTCTGGCCATTTTAAGGACTCCTGTTACGATAGGCATTTGATTCTGGAGACTACTAGTGAAGGATTTGATTGGCCGTATTTGGGCTGTCGAGTGTTGGTAGCAGCTAAGCCTGTTAAAGTATATTGTCAGGCTCTACATAAGAACCAAGATAGTATTTTGAAGGGAGGGGATATAATTTTTCAAAACTTGCAGAGCTATTTCTCGTTCTGTAGTAAGAAGCAGAAGATTGCTGTAATTTCATCGTTTTTTCATAAAGCATATGATATGGGCACCTTACCTACGGCTGAGGCCACCTTTCTGTTTTCCCTTAAGGTCGAGCTTCGTCGGCGGGGATTTCCTGATGAATTGTTCGACAAGGCCCTGACAAATTTTAATATTAAGATAGGCGGGGCCTGGACCGACTGGGTCAAATGTTTTACT